TGGCATTTAGATCTTTTGTGTCTTTATTGAACTTCTTTCTGGATGTTCTGTCCTTCACCAAAAGTGGTGTTTGGAAGTCTCCTATTATTATTGTGGAGCTATCTATCCCTGTTTTCAGTGCTGTTAGAGTTTGTTTTATGTATTTTGGAGCCCTGTTGTTGGGTGCTTAAATATTTATTATAGTTATGTCCTCTTGGTGTATTGACCCTTTAATCATTATATAGCGTCCTTCGTTATCCTTTGTGGTGGTTTTTACTTTAAAGTCTATTTTGTCAGAGATTAATATTGCCACTCCTGCTCTTTTTGAATGTTGTTTGCTTGATATATTTTTTTCCATCCTTTGAGTTTTAGTTTGTGTCTTGAAGTCTAAGGTGTGTCTCTTGTAGGCAGCATATAGACAGATCGTGTTTTTTTTATCCGTTCTACCACTCTCTGTTTCTTTATTGGTACATTTAGTCCGTTTACATTCAGCAGAATTATTGATAGGTATGCGTTTAGTGCCGTCATTTTGATGTCTTTTTTGTGTATTGTTGACAGTTTCTTAGTTCCACTTAATTTTCTGTGCTGAGTCATTTTTGTTTATGTATTGTTTCTTGTCATCTTTTTCATTATTGTTGATTTTGTATTTGCTGAGTCTTTATATTTTTCTTGTTTTTTATTTTGATGTGTAGGATTGTTAGTTTTCTTTGTGGTTACCTTAATATTTACCCCTATTTTTCTAAGTTTAAACCAATCTTTTATTTCTTTAGATTGCCTTGACTTCCTCTCCATCTGAAAAATTTATGACTATAATTTTTTAGTCCCTCCTTTGTTTTAGTGTTGTCATCTTTTACATATCGACGTCTCTGTTTCCTTATTTTCAGCATTTTAGGTTTGATTTATTTTTATGATTTCCCTGTCTGAGTTTATATTTGGTTACTCTGCCCTGTGTTCTAGTCTTGGGTTGTTATCTGATGTTATTGATTTCCTAACCATAGGACTCCCTTTAGTATAACTTGTAATTTTGGTTTGGTTTTTGCAAATTCCCGAAATTTCTGTGTATTTGGAAATGCCCTGATTTCACCATTATATTTGGGAGACAGTTTTCCTGGATGTATAATTCTTGGCTTGCAGTTTTTTTCCTTCAAAACTTTATATATTTTATCCCATTGCCTTCTTGCCTGCATGGTTACTGCTGGGTAGTCCGAGCTTAGTAATATTGACTCTCCTTTGTAGATGACTTTTTATTTCTCCCTAGCCACCCTTAAAATTCTCTGTTTATGTTTGGTTTTGGCAAGTTTGAATAGAATATGCCTTGGTGACTTTCTTTTGGGATCTACCTTGTGTGGGCTTCGATGAGCATCTTGGATGGAAATCTTCTCATCTTTGATGGTATCAGGGAAGTTTTCTGTCAACAAATGCTCAACAATTCTCTGTATTTTCTGTTATTCCTCCCTGTTTTGGTACTCCAGTCACTCGTAGGTTATTCCTCTTGATGGAGTCCCACAGAATTCTTACGATTTCTTTATTTTTTAAAAATTGTTTTATCTGATTTTTCCTCAAATAGGTCGGTGTCAGGTGCGTTATCTCCAGTCTCACTAATTCTGACCTCCATTGCCTCAATTCTGCTCTTCTGACTTTCTATTGAGTTGTCTAATTCTGAAGTTTTATTGTTAATCTTCTATGTTTCTGTTTGCTGCCTCTCTGTGGATTCCTGCAGCCTGTTGAATTTGTCACTGTGGTCTTCTAAAATCTTTTTAAGTTCCTCTGTTGCTTTGTTTGTGTGTTCCTTGGCTTGTTCTGCATTTTTATGATCTCCTTCCTGATCCTTTGAAGAGTTCTGTATATTAATCTTTCATATTCTACCTCCAGTAATTCCAAGAAGTTGTCTTCCTCCGGAAAATTGCTTGGTTCTTTGTTTTGGGAGCTTGCTGAAGCCATCATAGTGTGCTTCTTAATGTGATTTGTTATTGACTGTTGTCTCTGAGCTACCAGTAAGTTATTATATTTATTTATTTTATGTTTGCTTACTGTGTTTTGTGTTCTTGTTTTGTTTTGATATGCCCAAATAGGTTGCTTGTGTGAGCTAGTTTGATTATTGGCACCTTTGAAGCTCTAACAGCCTGTCACCAGGTGGTTAGATTTGTTGCTAGGTATGTGAGCCCAGGAGTCCATTTACTTTTCCTGTATGGATTCAGCTCAGTTGTCTAGATAGTCAGTCACCAAGTGTGTGGTACAGGCTCTCACCTATAGTCCCAGACGGGCAGGAGTAGGCACAGATATCTGGCTGGAGTAGGATGTCATGTGTTAAGCAAGGCAGTGGGCTGACGGGTGCCTGTGAATGTCTTTGAGGAAAACATGCCTATGTTCCCTAGAGTGTGTTGGTTGGTGGGTTTTGCAGCTGGACTGTGGGCATCCAGTGCTGTTGGCTGTGAGGATTGGGAGGCACCACTTATTTTTGGACCCTTGTCGCAGGTGGCTAGGTGGTGTGGGTGGAACCACCAGTCCTCAGGCCCCTGATATGTGTAGGTGAGGATCCTGCTTAATGGGCCAAGTGGCATCAAAGGTCATGAACCTACCACTCCACCATATAGCTGACACAGTGAAGTTAGGCTTCACGTATATACCCTGTTGTACTGTTGTAACGAGGGCCTGTGCTATTCATATGGATCCACACAGTCTATGCATGGGTGAAAGGCATTCAAATTCTGTGGACCCCTTATGCCTGTGCCTAGGTGAAGGAGCTGTGCCTACCCTGAGTTCCTGGCTTAGGGGAGCTGGCAGATTGTTTTTTCCTGTTTGTTAGTTTATTCCCTCTTCAAGGCCGGGAGAATGGCTCAGAGCGCATGAGGAGTCCTACTTTTGGACCAGGGGATGCGGCAGTTGCTAAAACTAGCCTGGAACCCAGTGTAGAGTGGGGAGGGAGCAGGTAAGTGGGAGAGAGGTTCTTCCCTAACAGGGTGTTTTTTTTTTTTTTTATTGTACTTCAGGTGAAGACTTACAGGACAAATAGTTTCTTGTGAAACAGTAGTACACATATTGTTTTATGACATTGGTTAACAACCCCATAACACAGGGTGTTTTTTGATCAACGCTGTTGGTTAAATGCATGTACTTATCTTTTGCTGATGGATTGCTGCTTTTCACTGGCTCTGGAGACCCAAGCAGACTCTCTGCCACTTGATCTCTTTCCTTGTGGAAAACGTGTCCCAAAGGCCACTGCTTGCCTCACCTTGCATGCCAGCCGATCTGGCCCGCAGGGCACCGGCTCCCGCCGGGTCAGCTCTGGCAGCTCCTCACTGCTTCTGAACCATCTCTGCCTCCATCTGCCACTCAGTGTGATTCCTCAACTTTGCCTTGGATGTTAAGAGTTCCTAGGTTGCCATATATTATCGATTCACTTCTTTTTTTGGGTCTTTGTTGTAAGAGGGACCACTGGAAGTGTCTGATTACTCTGCCATCTTGGCCCCACCTCAGAGTTGATTCTTTTAATTAAAAAATCATTTATTGAAAGTGTTCTTCTGTTACCTTGATCAATTCTTTTTCTTGTGAGCTCGTGACTTCCAGAATGCAGTACTTTGCTCTCAGATGGTAAGTCCCTTTTATCTTGCTGTGATTTAATTGTCTGGCTACCCAGTGGTATTTGCAAATGTGATTGTATTTTACTCTTCTCTCTGTAGCTTTTCAGTTAAGCTGATCTCAGCCTTATATCTTACCTTTTCTGTGTTATCTTGCATTTTTGCGTTCTGAGCCTATCTGGGATTTTACAGGGCAGATGGACTCCCCAGTTCAGTGTAACCTTCTCTATGCTTAGTATAGCTTATACTTTATTTACCCAGTTCCACTGGTTATGATTCACCTGTATGCTTTAGATTTTCCAAAAGTTTTGTTCACCTTTCTCATACTCTCTTCTCTTTATAGGGTTTCCGTGAGTTGGAATTGACTCGACAGCAATGGTATTTTTCCCCCCTTGTGTTATAACCTTTATTTGTTTATTTATTTTCCTTCTTTATTCTCATTTTAATGGTGTTTTCTGGTGGGCAGAAGATAAAAACACATGGTCAGTGAGCCCTCTTTAATTGGAAATTTTTTATGCAATAGCTTCTTGAATCTTTATAAGAATAGTGATTAGAATTTTTAAGAAATTTTCTTTTTTTTTCTGAGTTGTTTCATAAAGTGCTAGTTGTTCTGTTTGTTAATATTGTTTCTTCTGTTTTGTTGTTTTTTTTCCCTCAAATTCTTGGTAATCTTTAGTTGTAGAAACATGTGCTTTAAGCCTTTACTGGCATATATAGTCCAGATGGGTTTATCTGTAGTTGTGTAGGTCTGTTTCCCCAACAGGCTGTTATTTTGAAGAGAGATTGATACTAGCCTTTATATATGTGGATAAGGTAAGTTAACAAGCTAGTCTTCTTTTAGAATACATAGATGAGGAGTAGACAGGTCACCTGGAGAACATTTGCTGAAGGAAGGAAAGGAAGGCAAAGGAAAGTAGGCTCTTAGGTCTTTTGGAAGTTTTAAGTGGAGAACCATTAAAAAAAAATTTTCTTTTTGGTGAAAGATTTTATGGAAAGGTTTCCTGGTAGAGGGTATAGTATAGAGGAGACTCGAAAGATAATTGGATTTTTTTAAAAAACTTTTTTTCTGATTAAAAAAAGTACAACATGCCAGTTACAAAAAGTTTGAGTAGAAAAAAAGCATCATGTTAAGTCTTTCTTAATCTTTACTTTCTTCTATGTCTTCCCTCCTCCAAGCCATTTATGTACACTCTAATATATTTAAATATACACAGCATTCGTGTACATAAATATAGTAAATCTTTTTATCTTAAAAATAAAAATACTGGATAATATGATATATACACCCATAATGCTTTTTTTCATGTGACAAGAAATTTTGAGAATTTTTCTCTTAACCATTTCTTGAGATATGGTACATGCTTCCTTTATACTTTTTTCACTCAATGAAAAATGTTGAACACTTTTCTCAAACTACATGTTAAACTGCCTCATTATTTTTAGTGGCTTGTGTATTTCATCACGTGGAGATTACTTGTAATGAATATTCATCTTATTTCTGGTTTTTATTATGGTGAGTATTGCTAATATAGACATTTTGATCTACTGTTTTTTTCTTTATACTACATTTCTACAAGTGGAATGCTGACAAATATATGCAAATTAAAATTTCAATAAGTTTTGCTAAAATTGTCCTCCAAATACATTGTATCACATTTTGTTTATAGCAAAAGGGTATGTTGCAGCAAAAAAAAAAACCATATTTTTACAATAGTACGTATTTCCATGATGAATAGGTTTTTGCCAGGCAGAGGAAGGGTTTTCAAGTCAGTTAGGTGATCAAAGATAAAGCAGGTGAAAATGCAGGGCATAATATTGAAGTTGAGTGAGTGAATGGGTGTGGAAAACAGTAGAAGGTGATAAGACCAGGAAGATAATCTAGATTTATGGAGGACATTTTTAGTATGCTAAAGGATTGGGCTTAATTCTTTAAACCTTGGGGAACCGTCAGTTTTTTAGCAAGGGAATGACATGACCAGATTTGTTTTGGTTAGATCACTAACAACAGTGTGAAGAATGGCTTGGAGGGGGAGAAAAGGGGCTTGCATCTTGGTTAGGAGGTCATTGCAATTCTAAACACTCAGCCTTTATAAGTAACTCTCTTATAGTCTTTCAGTGAGATTAAATCTATCAGTTAACCTGGACTGAACACATAAGGAGTTTAACAGGAGCAGTATAGATGCAGTGTTTGCCCTCTGGAAGCTTAAAGACCAAATTTGCATAAGAGAAGCTCTCAGCACCGTTCACATTATGTTAAGTTGAAAGGGACTGGAAAACTCCTAGCCTTTCAGGGTAGGGGGTTAGCATGGTGGTGGATGTTACAGAAGAATTTAAAATAGTCAGTTTAGTGCAGTATTCCACTGGCAATTCTCCTCACCACAAAGACAATTGGAACTTTAAAGGGATATAGATTTTGTATATGGAGGAACTTGACTTTGTTTTGGGTTTCATGATTATGTCTATTTGATATCATTGTATTTATAGATTTTCATTCATTATCAATAAATAATTACAAGTATGTTTTCCAAACTTTGTGTTTGAAGGTAAGCAACTGCTCCCATTGTCCAGCAGTGTACATAACAGTGTGGGACAGGTGACATGGCAGTCATCAGGAGAAGCATCAAACCTGGTTCAAATGAGAAACCAGTCCCTTGGACAGTCTGCACCTTCTCTTACTGCTGGCTTGGTAAGTGTTAGTAAAGAGGTGGCTTGCCCTTTGAACACATCCTTGATTGTCATTTGTCATTGACACATCTGTTATTTTCCTTTTTATGATTTGGATACCTTAATTTCTTAAGGTAAAGTATAGAACAAAAATGGAAATTAATTGAATATATTCCCGATTGCTCTCGCATGTTGTGCCTGGTACTAACTATACAGTGAAGCCAAGGAAAGGATTTAATGTGATTGTAATTTTTACAAATGAATTTCCTGGGAAAGAAATTTCTTTTTATGGAAGTGATTCTAAATCTTGTGAAGTTGTGTTACTTTTGTGTACAGCTCTGGAGTATACATATTTAGTATGCAAGGATAGGGAACATGTTTGACACACAGTATATACCCTTACTGGATGAAAGAATGAGCCCTTTTTTTGTCTAGGCTTTTTTTGGTGTTATGTTGTTGTTTGTTAGTTTCCACTGAGTTGGCTCTAACTCATGCAACCTTATGTATAACAGAACAAAACATTTGCCTGGTCCTGGGCCATCTTCGTTAATATATTTGAGTCCATTGTTGCGGCTGTTGTGTCAGTCCATCTCATAGAGGCTTTTCCTCGTGTTTGTTAGCACTCTTCCAAATGTGATGTCCTTTTCTGGTGGTTGATCTTTCCTGATGATGTGTCCAAAGTAAGTGAGTTGAAGTCTCACCCATCCTAAACCAGTTCTTCCTTGTTTTTCCCTGCCTTGTTAAATAGCTCTATCACCCACCTGACCTGGTGGCCCAAAGCCAGAGACCTGGAAGTTTTCTTTCACTTCTCATCTGCCTTTGTCCCCTTCCCATGCAATCAGCCACTGAACCTTAACTCCCAATATCTCTGTGTGGTCTGTTTGTTTTCTCCACCACAGTCGTCACCAAGTCTAAGTCTCATTTGCAGTCTCTTACTTAGATCATCGTAGTGGCCTCCTGACTGTTTACTCTGTATTCAGTCTTCTTCCTTTCCGGGCCGTTCTGCACACTAAAGTCTATTGTTTCAAAAAAACAAAATTGATCATGTCTATTCTTACATCTTTCTTTAGTTCTTTCTTCCAGTGTTTTCATCTGATTAATATTTATCCAGCACCAGTGTTTGGGAATTCATTTGAGTAAAATCTCTCTGTATCTTCCTATAGCAGTTATTATGAAGTACAATAATAATTGTTTTGTTTTGTTTTTTTTTTTTTGATTTTTTAAAATAAGCTTTATTTTTTAGAGCAGTTTTAGGTTTACAGAAAAATTGCCCAGAAAGTACGGAGAGTTCCCGTAGACCCTTTCACCCTTGCTCATGGTTTTTCCTACTGTAACATTTTGCATACCTGTGGTATAATTGTTGAATGAATGAATTTTTTCATTGAGATTAGCAAGTGGAGAATGAGGAACTAGAGACAGGGGCCACAAGTGGAAGAGTTAAGCAGAGAGGGAAAGAAATGTTTTTTCTTTTAGACTGGACTATTGTATTCAGTATTTCTTACTGAGGTTGGCCTAATTAGTGAAATGTAGTTTAAATATTGACATTTTAATAGGACAGCTTGTAAATCCTAAGAATCTTTTTAATTGGTAGAGTTTGACAGATTCTCCAAATACACTTTTGGAACTCTTCCTTTACTTTGTTGGCAGACATTGCCTTTATAGGAATGGTCATTTGTAGGCAATGAGTCTTTCCATCGTTGTGATCTCAGTCTACATGTAGCATTGTATCTGGTAGAGTAAGCAGTGTATAATTTCCTTAATAAAGGAGTAAAGAGCTTTTTGGAAAAACATTTACTAAGTTGCATAGCTAGTTGGATTAATACTGTTTGAAGTATGATAGGCACAAACATCGTGCACACATGCACACACAAAGTTGATTTTAATGTATTTGTACTGGCCGAACATGATGTCACACAGACCTCTATTTTTAGCCTTGTCTCAATCATCGTTTTTATCAACTTCTTGGATAAAGGCATAGAAGGAATGCTTATCACATGTGCTGATTGTATACTGTTCCTCATGTTGAATAATAAATTCAGTCAGACCTTCACAAACAGAAATAATAGTACAAAAAGAACCAGTTAACTGAGATTTAGCAGAGTGAAAAGTAAACTTTGAAAAACCAAATGCCCAAAACTGGATTGAACAATGGCTTTAAGTCACTTGAGTGGAAAAGACTTGAAAGGTTTTAACTGACTTCTAAACTCCGAACTAACATAAACCAATGTTGTAATAAACTAAGACTGAATTGAGAATATTCTTAACAAGTCCAGAACAAAGGATATGATAATTTAATCGAACACTTTATCATGAGATCTCATATTGAATATGGTTTGCCATTTTAGGTGCCACTTATTGTACTTTTAATTTAATAATTTAATAATACCTCAGAACTTTATTTTGAGGTGGCATATGGTGTATGCTTTTTAAAATTTGTGCTTTAGGTGAAAGTTTACAGTGCAAATTAGTTTCTCATTCAAAAATTTATACACAAGTTGTTTTGTGACATTGGTTGCAATTCCCGCATTGTGTCAGCATTCTTCCCCCTTTCCACCCCGGATTCCCTGTATCCATTTGTCCAGTTTTCCTGTCCTTTCCTGCTTTCTTTGCTATGGGGCAGGTGTTGCCCATTTGGTCTCTTATACTTGATTGAATTAGCACGTTCCTCACCTGTGTTACTGTTTTACAGCCCTGTCTAATCTTTGGCTGAAAGGTGGACTTCAGTTCTGAGTTAAGGTGTTCGAGGGCCATAGTCTTCAGTGTTCCTCCAGTCTCTGTCAGACGAGCAAGTCTGGTCTTTTTTTTTTTTTTGTGAATTTCAATTTTGTTCCACATTTTTCTCCCGCTCTGTACGGGACCCTCTATTGTGATCCTTGTCAGAGTGGTTGTTGGTGGTAGCCGGGCATCATCTATTTCTTCTGGGCCCAGGCTAGCGGAAGCTGTGGTTCATGTGATCCATTAGTCCTTTGGACTAATATTTTCCTTGTGTCTTTGGTTTTCTTCATTCTCCTTGCTTTGGACGGGATGGGACCAATAGATGTATCTTAGATGGCCACAAACTTTTAAGACCCCAGACTCTACTCACCGAAGTAGGATGCAGAACGTTTTCTTTATGAAGTACGTTACGCCAGTTGACCTAGATGGTCCCTGAGACCGTGGTCCCCAGCCTTCAACCCCAGTAACTTGGTCCCTCAAGGTGTTTGGATGTGTCTAGGAAGCTTCTATGACTCTGCCTTGGTCAAGTTGTGCTGACTTCCCCTACATTGTGTGTTGTCTTTCCCCTGACCAAAATTAACACTTGTCTACTATCTTGTTAGTGATTTTTCCTCCCCATCCCTCCCCTCCCTTGTAACCATCAAAGATTGTTTTTTTCTGTGTATAAACTTTTCCTTGGATTTTTATAATACTGGTCTCATACAATATTTGTCTTTTGTAATTGACTTATTTTACTCAGCATAATGCCCTCCAGATTCATCCGTGTTGTGATATGTTTCACAGATTCATCGTGGTATATGCTTTTAAAGAAAATAAAAATCTATACCACTTCTTAGAACCTTTTCCCATCATTTGTAAATGTTATTGTTAGATGCCATCGAGTCGGTTCTGATTCATAGCGACCATATGTACAACAGAACAAAGCACTGCTGGGTCCTCCGCTGTCCTCATGATCCTTGTTATGCTTGAGCCCATTGTTGCAACTACTGTGTCAGTCCATCTCGTTGAGACTCTTCCTTTTTTTCACTGACCCTCTGCTTTATCAAGCATGATGTCCTTCTCTGGGAAGTGATTCCTCCTAACAACATGTCCAAAGTATATGAGATATAGTTTCGCTATCCTTGCTTCTAAGGAGCATTCTGGCTATACTTCTTCCAAGCCAGATTTGTTCTTTCTTTTCGCAGTCCATGGTATATCCAGTATTCTTCGTCAACACCACAACTCGAAGGTGTCAATTCTTCTTCTATCTTCCTTACTTATTATCCAGTTTTTGAATACATACGAGGCGATCGAAAACACCATGGCTTGGGTCAGGCACACCTTAGTCCGCAAAGTGACATCTTTGCTTTTTTTTAACACTTTAAAGAGGCCTCTGCGGCAGATTTGCCAAATGCAGTGTATCGTTTGATTTCTTGACTGCTGCTTCTGAGGGTGTTGATTGTGGATCCAAGTAAAATGAAATCCTTGAGAACTTCAATCTCTTCTCCATTTATCATGATTGCTTATTGGTCCATTTGTGAGGATTTTTGTTTTCTGTATGTTGAGGTGTAATCTACACTGAAAGTTGTAGTCTTTGATCTTCATCAGTAATTGCTTCAAGTCCTCTTCACTTTCAGCAAACAAGGTTGTGTCATCTGCATAAGGCAGGTTGTTAATGAGTCTCCCTCTAATTTTGATGCCACGTTCTTCTTCATACAGTCCAGCTTCTCGGATTATTTGCTCAGCATACAGACTGAATAAATATGGTGAAAGGATACACCCTGATGCACACCTTTCCTGACTTTAAACCACGCAGTATCCCCTTGTTCTGTTCGAATGACTGCCTCTTGATCTATGTACAGGTTCCTTATGAGCACAATTAAGTGTTCCGGAGTTCCCATTCTTTGCAGTGTTATCCATAATTTGTTATGATCCACAGTTTAGTCCCTTGGCATAGTCAATAAAACACAGGTAGACATCTTTCTGGTATTCTGTGCTTTCAGCCGTGATCCATCTGACATCAGCAATGATATCCTTCATTCCACATCCTCTTCTGAATCCAGCTTGATTTTCTGACAGTTCTCTGTCGATGTACTCCTGCAACTGCTTTTGAATGATCTTTAGCAAAATCTTACTTGTGTATGATATTAATGATATCATTCAATGCCATTACTCTTCAAGCTGTCATTCCCGGCCTCATAGACCATATGATTGTCTGATTCAAAATGGCCAATACCAGTCCATTTCAGCTCACTAATGCCTAGGATGTGGATGTTTATGCATTCCATTTTATTTTTGATGATTTTCAATTTTCCTAGATTCACGTTT